ATGGCAAAATTATTATTGGTGGGTCATTTACAAACTATAACGGAATTCCAAGAAACCGTATAGCTCGCCTTAATACTGATGGGAGTTTAGATTTGACTTTTAATCCTGGAACTGGTGCAGATGATATTGTTAGATCCACTGCCATCCAAAATGATGGAAAAATTATTATTGGTGGACATTTTTTAAATTATAATGGAACAACAAGAAATCGTATTGCTCGATTAAACAATGATGGTAGCCTTGATGTTAGTTTTAATCTAGGCACAGGAGCAAATAATTTTATTATACCTACAGCTATTCAAAGTGATGGTAAAATTATTATTGGTGGTGGATTTACAGACTATAATGGCACTTTAATTAACCGTATTGCTCGTCTTAATACAAATGGGAGTTTAGATGCAAGTTTTAACACTGGTTTTGGTGCAAGTTCATCAATATTATCCACTTCTATTCAAAGCGATGGCAATATTATTATTGGTGGGTCTTTTTCTAACTACGATGGAGTTAGTAGAAACAGTATTGCAAGAATTATTGGCCCTGCTAGTATTTTACCTCTTCAATTAATAACGTTTAGTGGAAACTATGAAAACAAAAAAATAAAATTAAGTTGGGAAACGGAAATGGAAGAAAATGTAAAAGGTTTTCAGGTATTAAAAAGTAACGATTTAAAAACGTTTTATAAAATTGGTTGGTTAAACGCAATTAATTCTTTAAGTAAAAATGCTTATGAATATATCGACAATTCAGCTATTTCGGGAAACGTATTTTATAAATTGCTTATTGAAGATATTGATGGCGAAACTAAGGAAAGCAACATTGTAAAAATTTTTACACGTAATAATTCTGAAGTTTCAATTTTTCCTAATCCATGTATTAATCAATTAACAATTAATTCTTCAATTAATGACAAAGTAAAAATTATAAATACATTAGGTCATGTTCAACAAGCTTTTCAAATTACAAAAGGAACTAACGAAATAGATATTTCAATGTTAAATGTTGGTGTATATTTTTTAAAATTTCAAAATTTAAAAACGATTCAGTTCAATAAAAAATAAAAATGAAATTCAAAATCATATCGTTTATCATGTTGGTACTTTTTAGTGCTACAAATCTACAAGCACAAATCTTAGTGAACACCGAATGCTGTAACAACTCCATTAACGCTTATATTCTTAAGCATTGTTAACGCCTCAGGATCTGTTATTTTCAATCCTAATTTAAACATTTATTATTCTGCAGAAATAGGAGGTACTACATTACCCTTAACTACTTTTTTTGCTACAGGTCACAATTATTTCAATCTACCACTGGTTTAGAAACTAGAGGAATGTGGTGGAACTCAACTACCAATCAATTGGAACGAAATTGTTTTAGTTACATCGGATGGGGAGCAATAAATTTAGATGCTTCAGGTAATGCTATAAACACAAGTAGTTTATTTATTACGGACATGCATCAACCTACTAAACAATCAATAGGAGTTTAAGATTATAAAACCAATACTGTTCTGTATAATAATAATGGTACAATTTATAGTTATGATAGAACGAATGGAAACTTTTTAAATTCCAAAGTGTTAACCGGAACGGCTTTTTCAAGATGCAATACAAATTCAATGATTTATACAGGAGTTGCAGTCAAAGAATGGGGTTTGTTAAATTATGTGAATAAAAAAATTATTTTGTTTGACAGAGTAACAGGAGCTGATGTTGAAAGTTCTATATTGCCAGCAAATACAAGTACCTCTCAATTATTTAGATTTAGCTATGCAAATAATTTGGTTTGGCTTTATAATCCTGTTATAAACTCTTGGAATAGTTATAATATATGGTTAGGTTCAGCATTGCCAATTCAGTGGATAGAGTTTACGGCTATTTGTAATAAGGATGAAATAAAAGTTCAATGGAAAACATCAATTGAACAAAATAATAATTATTTTGAATTTGAAAAAAGTACAGATGATCTTTACTTTAAGACAATACATACTCATTTTTCAAAAGGGGATTATATCTCTGAACAAGATTATTTTTATAATGATATTCAACCAACAGTTGGTGAAAATTACTATAGAATAAAACAAGTTGATTTGGATAATAAATTTACTTATTCATCAGTCATTCATGTAAATTCTTTAAGCAACCTAACGCAAATACTAATTTATCCTTAACCTACATTAAGTATTATTTATCTAAAAAATATTTATATATCTAGCTAGTATTACATAACAAATATGAAGGGTAAAAAGTTGAATTCAGGAACCTAATTGGTGGGAATCCCAATTGATGTCTCATCTTTGCCAAGAGGTTTATATGTTTTAAATATTCAAAATCAAAATTTGTAAAAAAATAACATACAAATTAATGAAGATTCATAATATCAGACTGTTTGTTAACCAATAAATTCATGCATAAAGTGTTAAAACTACCTTAACTAAATCAATCTTTATATTTTTTTCAAGAAAAACTATATATATTTTTAAAGTATGTTGTGTACTAAAAATTGAGTAGTAATAGTCTCTTTACTTCCTTGCATTAATCTCATCACGAATCTGAGCGGCACGAATATAATCTTCTTGATCGAGTACATCTTCGAGCAAGGTTTGCAATTCTGAAATACTTAAAGCAGCAAGATCGTTTTTTACACTGGATATTTTTGGTTTGCTTTTCTTTTCTTCGTCGGTTCCAATAGCTTTAGGTGCAGTTTCGTCCATTTGAAGGCCTGCGGAATCTAAGATAGATTCGAAGGTGAAGATAGGTGCATCAAAACGGACTGCCAATGCAAGTGCATCGCTGGTGCGAGAATCTATTTCGATGGTTTCGGTAGGTGATTGACAGATTAACTTGGCATAGAATATACCTTCGTGAATACGATGTATAAGCACCTCATTGAGATGAATTTGATTGGCCGACATGAGATTTTTCATCAAATCGTGTGTGAGTGGGCGAGTGGGTTGCATATTTTCGAGTGCAACGGCAATAGCCTGAGCCTCAAACCCACCAATCACGATCGGTAACTTGCGTACTCCATTGACTTCGCCTAGTACAACAGCATAGGAATGCGATTGTGTAACGCTATGCGAAAGGGCTACAATTTCCAATTCTAATTTTTTCGAACTCATAGTAATAGGGTCAAATATAACGCAATGAATGCTAAAAATGCAATTTATGCATGTTGAGCCGCTTTGTATTTTTTGAATGCTTCAGTTAATTTTGGTACGATTTCGAATGCATCGCCTAAAACACCATAGTCGCCTGCTTTGAAGAAAGGTGCTTCTGGATCTTTGTTAATGACTACGATCGCTTTAGAACTATTGACACCTGCCAAATGTTGAATAGCGCCACTGATACCTACAGCGATATAAAGATTTGGACGAATGGTACCACCTGTTTGTCCTACATGCTCGTGATGAGGACGCCAATGCGAATCGGCTACTGGGCGCGAACAAGCTAATGTTGCACCGATGCTTGCAGCTAACTCTTCGAGGATACCCCAATTTTCGGGTCCTTTGAGTCCACGACCACCACTTACAACTAGTTCGGCTTCACCCAATGGTACAATGCCGGTAATTTTGTTGACACTTTCTACTTTCACTGCAAAATCGTTGGCTCCAAAGTCAATGGATTGGGTTGCTACTTCAGCAGTAGCATCTGTTTTTTCTACACCAAACGAATTGGGAGTTAACGAAATAACTTTTGTAGCTGATTTTACATTTACAAAGGCAAATGCCTTGCCTGAGAAAACAGATTTTTTCACTACAAAACCGTTGCTTGTATCTGGTAATGAAATAGCTCCAGCTACCAAGCCAGCTTTCAAACGAGCTGCTACGCGAGGTGCAACTGCTTTGGCAGTATTGTTATTGGAAAATATAATGACTTGTGCATTTTCTTGTGATGCAATAGTTGAAATTGCTTTTGAATATGCTTTTGCTTCTAAGTTGTTTAAGCGAGCATCTTGAATATGAATAACCTTATTGGCGCCATAGTTACCCAAAATAGCTGTGTCATTGGCTTCGCCAAGAACGACTGCACACACTTGTGTACCAGCACTAGCGGCAATTTTGGATGCATAATTGATGGCTTCAAAGCTAGCTTTTTTGAAAGAGCCATTATTTTGTTCTGCAAATACTAATATCATAAAGAAATTGTTTTAAATTTTTGAAACGTATTAAATGAAGACAATTTTTAAAAAGGAGAGGAAAATAATTAAATGACTTTCGCTTCTTCGTGTAACAATCGAACCAATTCATCCATTTGATCAATGTTGAGCATTTTAATACCGGTTTTCTGAACAGGCATTTCGTATGAAACAATTGAAGTTAATTCATCTACAGCAATAGGTGCTACTACATTCAATGGCTTGGTACGAGCGGCCATGATGCCACGCATATTAGGTATACGTGCTTCGGACATTCCTTTTTGACAAGATATAACCAACGGCAACGAGCAGGTGTCGCTTTCTTCGCCTCCTTCAATTTCACGATTCACCGCAACAGCACCATTGGCAACATCAAGTTTGCACACATGGGTTATGTATGGTAAATCGAGCATTTCGGCTACTATAGCGCCCATGCTTGCATTGTTGTAATCAATACTTTCCTTGCCCATCATCACTAAATCATACGAATGAGATTTGGCATACTCAGCAATTTGAGAAGCGATATAAAAACTGTCATTGCTATCAGCATCAATTCGAATGGCTTCGTCACCACCTAATGCAAGTGCTTTGCGTATTACTGGTTCGGTATCAGCTTTACCAACAGTGATTAAATGTACAGCAGAAGCAATACCAGCTTCTTTTAATTCCAAGGCACGTACCAATGCATACCATTCTTCGTAAGGATTGATGATCCATTGAACACCAGCTTCGTTCAGTTTGGTATCGTTATCGGTGAAAGCGATTTTTGTCGTTGTGTCAGGGGCTTTTGTAATGCAAACCAATATTTTCATATCTATCTGTAGTTTTGAGGGTGCAAATATAATACACAAACCTCCAAAAATGATTAAAACTACTGTTCAAAAACCATAAATAATGATGATGTTGAATACGAATGGGAGAGATTACAGAATCGTTACTAAATAATTAATTTCAGCATCAAGTCGATTTAATTGATTCTGTATGATTTCATAATCAAAATCCTTGGTCATTTCTAATTCTTTGGAAAGAAGGGTTAATTGTGAGAATGAAGCCGTAAGAGCAGTGCCCTTTATTCGATGCGCAACTAAGTTGATCGATTTAATATCTTTATTGTTAAAGTGTTGATGCAGTTCTTTCTGACCTTCTAGCAAAGATTCTTTGATGTAAGGAAATATCGACTTAAGATAGACACCATTAGATTTGTTGGCTTCTTCCAATTTTTGAAAATCGATGTGAATATTTTCGACTTGTATTTGCTCAATTGTTTCTTTGGTAGATTGTTCTATGCTTAAAAATTGTTTGAGTGTTTTTTCAATAGAGTTTCGTACGATAGGTTTAGTAAGAAAATCATTCATACCTACACTTAAACAGTTTTCTCGTTCACCTTCAGAAGTACCTGCTGTTACAGCTATGATAGGGATAGAACGAGTGGTTTCAATTGCTCGAATTCGTTGCGTGGCTTCTATGCCGTTCATAATTGGCATTTGAATGTCCATGAATATAATATCTGGCTGAATGTTTTGGTATAATTCTACTGCTTCTTGCCCATTGACAGCTTCATAAAATGATGAACTCGGTAATAAGTCTTTTAATATTGATTTGAGTAAAAATAAGTTTACTTTATTATCCTCTACCAACATGATTTTAATCAATCCATGACTTGAAATTTGATTTATTAGTTCGTTCGTGAAATGGTATACATGTTGATTTTCCGTTTCAACTGAAATGATACATTCATTTGGATCGAGTATAAACTGATTCATATTTAAGTCAAAATAAAAATGACTTCCTTTGCCAACTTCACTGTCGATATATATTTTGCTTCCCATCATACTCAAAAGTTTGCTACTAATGGCAAGCCCGAGGCCTGTTCCTCCATATTTTTTAGTTGTAGAGGAGTCTTCTTGGGTAAATGCTTCAAATATTCGTACTTTGTTTTCATCACGAATGCCAATACCTGTGTCTATTACTGAGAACCTGATTTTATCAATGCCATCTGATTTTACTTTGCCAATTATAAAATCAATTTTTCCTTTTTCAGTGAATTTTACTGCGTTGCTTATAAGATTTAATAAGACTTGTTTGAGTCTAATATCATCTATCTCAATACAAGGAGGAACATCAGGAGAAATATGAAAGTTAAATACAAGGTTTTTTTC